AGAGAACTTTTGAAATATGGTCAAAGAAGTCTTTTTAATGCTTGATGGATAAAAATGATTAAAAAAATTGATGTCATCAATAACTTTTACTGGTGAGGTTTCCATGCATGTCTCCATGATGAAATAATGCATGGGTTCGGTGAAATATTCTTTTCAATTTGAAGAAAAGGAAAATCAATTATTTCATCTTAACAATTGATACATTTTCAATTATTTATCCAAATTAATTTTCTTCCATTTTCAAAGTTGATACATTTTCAAGATCAAATTTCATCAAGGACAGAGAGTTTAGCTTGGAAAAGGACTTTAAGTTGAAGAAAAAAATGTTTAGGGTCATATTTACCGAAAAGTGTGTGCCACGGCGCCACCCCATCGAACATTTTGATTTCGATTGTACCTTCTAATGTTTGGAACCCATGTCAGAAATCACTAAAAGCTCTTCTTCATATTGCCCATCTTCCAGAACATCAACATCCTATTTGTTTACGAGCTTTTTCCTTTATTAGTAGCACCAGCAGCCTTGTTTATGTTTTTCAAAGCCAATGAGTAAATTTTCAAAAATTCTTCACCTGGAGATAAATTCCATTGCAGAGAATAAACTTGATCTCTTCAATGAGAAAACACAAACAAACTTCTCCATAAAAAAAATTCAACTAAAAATATTCTCCACCTCTGCTACCCCAACTAACGATAAATGTGATCTAATGGACGTCACTGCATTAGGCTTGGTGCCAGGATTTTTTCAAATTCTACTAGATTTTATGATTTCTTCTTCATCTGAAAGTCAATAAAGAGACTCTTATAATAATAATAATAATAATAATAATAATAGTTTTATCTCTGCATTACATTCAATAACTTATTGAGAGCTAGAGAGCTTAGATTTTAATTGAGAGTGGGATCTTAATATTGTAAACATACTTACTATTGACTATAGTTAATTTCTTCTCCTCTACCTATGGTTTTTTCTCATATTGGGTTTCCACATAAATCTTAGTATTATTCTTTTTGTTCTTGCTTTATTTCATTATTATCATTATCGTACGATCAATTCACAACATTGACTTTAAAATCTCAATTTCTTCTCATTTTCTTGCAACTTTCACCAATGTAGGTTGAGGTAGGGGAATAAAACCGACCAAAAATCTTAATAGATATTTATTTAATACTTGGATTGTACGTAATAGAATATGGATATAAATAAATGTTTGAAATATATTCATGGGGTAAATGTTTGAAAGATAAAAGGGGGCTTGTCTTTGAATTTTACATTGCATTCGGCTGTAAAAGGACACTTATTGAATTCAAGAATGTATAACTAATTATTAGTACAACATGACCCATTGTTTAAGAACTCGGAAAGGAACCCAAACAAAAAATACCATAAAAAACCAAAAAATGAAAAAAATAAAATCAACTGATGTCTAAAAAGTCAATTTGTTTTTCCTCGGCATTGTTTCATAATGTCAATTCCCACACATTAAGTGATATAAATTAAATTTCAAATATGATATCACATTTGCGAGGACTATTTGAGAATTTATTTAATGTGCATCATCTTTATCTAAGAGTTTAAATTGCTATGAAATAGACCATGCATGTCTACATTGATTTTTATTGATCACATAATTCTTCAAATATACAGATCGTAACAAGTAATAAAGGAAATATTTTTAGTTTGAATATTTCCCACAGAGATTAAGTACTTGTTAAATTTGACTTTAGAAAATGGGATAAGTAGTTAGAAAATTTGATTTCGCTTAGACTATTTAATATTCATTTAATCAAACATAATTCAACCTCTTTTTCATATGTAACAATCAATTAACCAATATTACTTAATAATCTCTCTCGAGCAAAACTAACTATTTTAACATGATCGAATTTACTATGCATATGTTTGGCCGCCTTTTTTCCAAAGATTCATTTTTTCAAACTCATTTTCAATCCCACATTCTCCGCCCATAAAATAGTATTACACGTAAACTAAAAACTTTTTCTTATTTTTTAATCATACATTCTTCAAGAAATCACTATTCTAAAATGCATTTTCTTACAAAAATGGGACTCAAACAGGGGTTTTATCTCTATGCAAATTCATATAAATGTAAAAGCATTTATTGTAGGAATTGAATCAAGATTGCATATCATAATCAAACATACCCCTTTTCAAATGTAACAATCGAATTAACCAATATTACTCAATAATATCTCTAGAGCAAAACTAACTATTTTAACATGATCGAATTTACTATGCATATGTTTGGCTCTCATATTTTCAAAGATTCATTTTCAAAACTCATTTTGAACCACATATTTTTTTGCCGTAATATTTTTTTAACCACATATTTTTCAAAAAATTACTATTCCAAAATACATTTTATTACAAAAATGGGGCTCAAACAGAAGCTATATCTCTATGTGAATTCATAAAAATGTAAAACAGTTTATTGTAGGAATTCAATCAAGATTGCATATTGTAATCATCTCTCGATCTCTTATAATACCTATGTCACCTGTTGTACAAAGTAGACAGATAAATCTCTCCATTTTAGTATAGTCCCTAAATTAAACAATTGATGATCAATCAATTGAAATTAAACACATAATAAGAAATTAACCATAATCAAAGTTGCATGAAATCAATTTAATTAAACAAACATTAACCTAAGATATATATCATCATAATGACTATTATTTATCCACTCACAATTGTGTAATTGAAAAATAAAAAGATTAAAAACATAACCGAGTTTAATACAATAAAGGAAGAAAAGAATCCAAGAAATTATTGTTATTTGGT